AATTATTTTCATGGTTAAATTTACTCTCACCATAAATGTTGCACTCCCACATAGTTGAATGTAGTTGGCTGATAGGAGCGTGGAAGACACCTGCAGTTCAATCCAATTTTGGCCCAAAAAATTCTCCTTCAGACCTGGAGAAAGACTTCATCTGATTCAGCATAACGCAACAATACTCTTCACATTAGAATCTAGTACAGCAAAGGCCTTACTCCGAAAAGTGCATGGTTATGTGCATCACAACAATTCACACTCCTTCATGTCTTAGAAAGTTTACAATAGCAACTGCGTCGATTCTTTGGATGAGCCGGCCGCCACGTGGAAATCTTCGGCCATATCTTAGCGCGCACTGTCTGTGAATTGTTGCCCAGTAAAGGACAGTTTGAGGCATTCGGTCTTGCTTTAGGGGTAGATGTAGCTAACAACTTCCTTGTTGTACTGAATTCTTTGTTGGCCTGTTCTAAGTATTTCCATTTTTATCTCACTGGCAAGTTCCCCAACGTGCTTTTGGCATCGTGCAGTAGCACTGAGCAGTCTGTTTTGTTAATCTGTTACCTTCTAAATATTACCAGACCAATTCTTCTTTCTGATGCCTTGAAAAACCGTACTACCGGACCGGAATAATAGTATTTCAGTGGAGATATGCCGGGGCTATTATGTGTTTTCCCCTGCTTTGCTGAGTCACAACTAAGTTTTCCTTCAGTACAATACACTTATGAGCACAACAGTAAAAGTAAATGTTGAAAAGCTGTTAATTTATCGAAAGAAATTTATCAGAGGCTTTGTGAAAAGGGGGATAGTTTGCCTTTCCATGGCAAATGTCAGCTGATTGATAAGTTCTGAAATTCGTAGAGATGGATGTGCGACATCAGAAGATACGTACTGGAAGTTAGATGCTTTGCAAAATTTCATACAAGACCTGAACTGGCCGGAAGAGGAATTTGCGAGGTATTTGCAAGTGAGGATGAAGGCACTCGCGAGCGAGATGATCAACAAATGTGCCAACTGGTATGCGTAGGTTTGTCTAATAAAAGTTAGCATATTTCGTTTTTGTTAAAATAAGCTGCCCTGTTGGTGACAATCGCAAGGACTCATCGCACAGACAGTTCTGAAGATTCTTTCTAAATCTAGCCGAAGGACAACCGCATTTTGCAAAAGTCATGCCGACTTCGTTAAACGTCGGGAGAAGAAACTCAGCAGAGGGTGCGGCAGTTTAATGGCCCTCCTGGCTTCGTCAGCACTATCCAAGCTGATTTTACAGTTCTTGTTCGAGACAGACTATGGAAGCATGAAAAGTGACCTCAAAATGAAATATCTCTGCGGCGGTTATTAAAATGAAATATCTCTGCGACGGTTATTAGCGCAGACGATCTAGATAATCTTGAGATAATCTTGATGTACGATTACAGAACAGCCGACTTTGGCATTCCCGGTGAACGAATGCTCTTCATTTCACTTTAGCATCTTAGCGTCTGTCGTTTTCATAATCACAATTCAAGCTAAACTAATTCTTAATGGAACTGACATACAAATAATTATAATAATTTTTAGTACATACCAGTGTTTCGATTCGTATATGCAGCGGGCGCGCAGGACAACCGATTATGTTCTGCCATCGGAAGTTTGCGTTATGATTAATGTGATTTTTTCATCAAAATCTCGAGCGACCAAATTAACAATGGATTCTGGCGAGGTACAGGCTTTTTTTGACTTAAAAATCATGCATCGATTTCTCGATCCTTGCCTAGCCTACAAAAGGAGAATATAGGAAAAGAATGCCTAACAAGCTTTTTTCTTCTACTGAAAAAATATTGCGCAGATTCAGTTGAGGCGCTCCAATCTATTAGCCACTAATCTGAGTCAAAAAAAGTTTAGTTCAGCCGATGCAATGATCGCTGTAACACAATTCTAGCAGATACCTATTTCTTACTTATATCAGCTAATGCTTCATCGTAAAGCATTTTTGTGCCACTTGTTTACAAGTAGTTTTGCCTATGCTGCTGTGAGCAAAGTTGTATTAGTTAGTGGCCAGCCTGCTGATAATAGTAACATTCGTTTAACCATTTTCCTTCGCCTTTTTGCAATGGAATGCTTGGTGTATCACATTACGCCTCTGATGCCCTTCAGTTAACCTATCAACGTTCGTCCTACATTCTTATACAGTCGCCAACGCCCGAAGCGGACATGTACCGAGACTTAACTATTTGAAAATTTCTAGAATTTGAAATACACTTGCATGCTGTTTTTACAGCAGAGTCTGAACTAAAATGCAGTCACCTGGCATTCATTCTTTGTAAATTTAATTCAGAAGAGTTGGTGGGATGCAAATCTTATAAATTGTCAGCTTTCAGCGAGAAAAAAAACGAACATGTGCTAAAATTTAGTCAAGGAGCGCGCCGAAAATAATTGCTTAGATGTTTTTTCCTATTTAAGGGATGACCAGCAATTTTTTTGAAGATCCGATTTCCACAGGAAAGTTCTGGTGCTGGTTACATTCAGCTTTTTCTGGAAAGGCATATTAGTAAAGCATCCTCATTCACTGATATTCTGAAGTAAAAAAATTTTTAATACTGACAAAAGGATATGCAAAAATTATTTAAAAATAATGGCATACTTTGATATAATAAAAATAATTCTTTCCAAAGAACGATAATCATAGAATATTTCAAATTCCTCAAAAAAAAAGAAAAAGAAGGGAGGTTCTGGCCATTTCCCTTCCTATGTCACGAAACCGAAAAAAAAAAACTAAGAAATACGAACCGCTTATTACGTCACTCAGCGGTAATTACTTTACTGCTTTTCTTTTCAGTATAAATATCACTCGAAATTGGATGAAACGTTGGAAACAATGCTTAAAGATATGGAAACTTGCATTGAGGATAAGGTATTTGAAGTTTTTAATCACAGTGCGAGGGACGTGCTTCGCATCTGCGGAAAAATTGTGAAAAGATATAAGAGTGTTGGTGTGAATATTAAATGACTGTGTGCACGTTGAAAAAAGTCTGAGACTCTTTTATTTCAAAAAATACTTCCAGAACTTCTCATTGATCAAAACTGAGCGTGTAAGATTCCTTATTATTTTTCTAACAATGTGAATGTCGACAAATATAACATCTTGTTTGTGATTACCGTGCACTTACTGAGGGCAGAGGTTTTGACGTAATAATAGCCACGGCCAGTGATCTCCGCTAAAACTATGCACATGAAAAGACCGTGTACACAATGCCCACAGCTTCAATTAATTTCATCTGCAGTAGGGGAACAAACTGGAGTGGCAGTTCCGTGGAAATGGGTTAATAAAAGAGGAATAGGGCTAATAATAAAAAAGGAGAAGGCCGGCTTACTGTTGACGAGTAAATCTGGATACACTGGCCACGAATGAGGATTTTGTTGAGTTTTTATAGAGCTTAGAAATAGGCGTGTCCACGGCGTAAAAAGATATGGTGTGAGATATATAGCGATTCATCTTTTGCTGTGTTGAAGGCAGCTGCCAATCATGGCCAGGAACCAAATCGGCAATCTGGCATTTTTTGTCTAGGGAAATGTAAATGAGACCAGATGTTTTTGGGAATTTTAAAAATGAATTAATGGGGCGGGAGATATAAAAATGAGAAACTGATAGTTTTAAACAGATTTTGAGGTAATTAGGAAATTAAGCTGACTTTTACATTACCGGCAGTAAAAGGTTCATCGCACATTTGATCTACAGTTGCCTGTTTGAGCTCCAACTTTTTTAAATATGACATGAAATTTTTCAGACCCGGTGCCACCATTTTTACTGCACGATCTATTTGATCGCTCACCGGACATACTTTGTCTTTGTCCAGTTCTCTGCAAATTTCCTTTTTAAATAGATGTTTGGCAAACAAAAAAAAAAAAAAAACCGTTCACATATGTAATTCGCAGTCATTCTGTGTTGTACCCAGTCGCATGCGGACAGTAATAGATAAATACGAGCCGTAAGATTTGAAAAACTCGCTCACGGTTTGTGGCTGTATCTCGATATCACTGCAGCTCTACATCGACAGTCACATCTCAGTAATTTTCATTAAAAGTGAAGGGTGTACCCACGTCCTGGAACCCTTCGAAGAGAACAGGCGTAATAGACGTAATTTGTCACTTGCAAT